GGATCCTAAATGTGCTTCACCATACCTTGCAGTTTTAAACTTTTTTTTTTTTTCCCAGTACTGGGAATCGAACTCACGACCTTGCACTTGCCAGGCATGCGCTGTGCTGCTGAGCTAAATCCGCAGCCCCTTAAACACTTTATTAGCCGGTCAGTTTTTCTTCCATAATGTAAGCATGTAAATTGTTTGGGAATTTTTTTGTTTTGTTTTGAGACAGGGCCTCAGGCTGGCCTTGAACTCATTGTGTAGACAGACCATGCTGGGCTTGAACTTGCGTCCATCCTCGTGCCTCAGCTTCCCCAGCGCTGATGCTACAGGCATGTGCCACCATGGCCAGTCTGGGATTTCTGTGTTTTGGTTTTTTTTTTTTAATGGAAAAAAAAAGGACTTTGAGGACCAGGGATGTAGCTCAGTGGTTTAAGTACTTGCCTGGCAAGCGCAAGGTCGTGAGTTCAATTCCTGGTACCAAAAAAGAAAAAAGGACTTTGAGCTTTCTAAAGGCAAGTATATACTAAATTTTCTTTCTAGCTCTAGTAGATAAGCACATGCGCACAGACACTTCATACTCAATGAGGAAGAGGAGGAGGAGGCTGAGGAAGTAGAAACTGGAGGTAGCTGGGATCAGATGGTTTCAGGAACTGGGCCAGGTCCCCTCGGCTCCTGGGTGTGACAAACTACCCAGGAAGAGCCAGGCTAGGCTGTGGCCCATAGGAAGGGAGGAGGGAATACATGGGCTCCACTGCCCAAAATAGCTCTCAGTAACCTGAGGAATCAGAGTCAAGGGTTGAGCCCGGGTCACATGCCCGGTGCGGCACCAGGGTGGAGGTGAACGCGGGCGGCTGCCAGCCTGGTTCTCTGGGCAGCTGGGAGGAGGAGGAAGGGCTAGAAGAGTTATTTTTAATAAGTGTTTAGAGCAAGAAAGAGGATTTCCCAGTAAAGAAAGGATGTGATGCAGGTTGCACTGATACTTCCATGCAGAGGAGAGGAGGGCGGAACTGGAGACAAAGCCCTCTCTTGCAGCCAGGCCTGGATCCAACTGCTGAATTCATGTTTGGGTAGCTCTAGGAGGACCTTACCTTCTTTCCCCGCCTCCCCCCACTCGTACCAGGAATCGAACTCATAACCTTGCGCTTGCCGGGCAGGCACTATGCCGCTGAGCTAAATCCCCAGCCCCCGCTTACCTTCTTAAAGCTTTGGTTTTTATCCTTCTGACAAGGTTTACGAAGTATCGTGTGCACAGTGCTGCAGTCACTGGTTGGGAGGCAAAAACTTGACAACTTCAACGTTATGATGTCTGTTTTTTGAGGAGTTTCTAACTTAACAGAAAGATACACACATATCCACGAAACAGAGAACACAGGACAATGGACGCTTCACTCCAGAGGGTCTTCCTGGAGGGGGTGTGTTTTGAGTCAGTACTTAAAGGAATTTATTTTATTAATGTAGAATGGCAGGGACATGGCAGTGAATTGGTCGTTTCAAGTCCAGGGAGTTAACTAGGAAAGGGTTAAAGGGCAGCAATTAGCTAATCTAATTAGTAGGGGGATGGCAAGCAAAGTGGTGTGGCAGGCCTGCTAGACCTTGGGGATTCTTGGCAGGGCAGGTAGGCAGGTAA